GAAAGCAGCAAAATGTGATGTTTCCATTGTAAACTGGGGTTCTCTCTCCCTTCCCCTTGGAACATGAGTCACATATCCTAATTAAAAGGAAAACAGATCTCGGGACCAGCAGTTAGCATAATGGCTATGTCGCTGGACTCCCACGTAGTCGACCATGGTCAATATTACTAAGATATTTATTTCTTAATGTGCAACTAAAATTTAGCACAAGATTACACTCCAAACTTGATATACATTTACCCATCAAGATGATAATTCTGAATGGAAATCGGAATGCTGAAGAATCATATCAACTAGAAATTTTCGTTTCTCATTGCAAGAAATAGAAACTCAAGGTAGACATATCATTTGAGATATTTGGGTAAGAATGATGGTTCAATACTGGAAACTTTTTGTTGTTGTTTTTAATGGCATGCAAAGAATTCACAAACCAATCCTTCAAAACTATCCAAACTGGGCCAGCTCTGTGGTCTGGTGGTTAAGGCCACTGGATCCCACATGGTCAACCATAGGGGTCAAGGACTAGACTCAAAAGCTTAGAAACGCACCAGGTGTGTGTGCATGCATGCCCAGAATTCTGACAGAATGGAGAAATGGAGGAAAAGGGGTTACAATATGACCATTTCCTATGGGATGTGCTTAGTCTCTCTCTCTCTCTCTCTGTGAGCCCACATACCCTCTGATAAATTTTTTAAAAAGTCCGAACACCTGTAAATTCATTAGCTAGAAACAAAAATAATCTGAAGTGCAGTTTTAAGAATAAATGATTAAGGGGGACCAGGAGGTGGTGGTGATTAAGGTGCTGGAATTCCCAGATGGCCAACCATGGTTCAAGTGCCGGACCTGGAGGCTTGCTTTCTCTCTGTCTCTCTGTCTCTCTCTTTCTGTGGCAAATTCATATGAAAAAATAATAAATAAACAAATTAATTAATTAATTCTTAAAAAACGAATAGTTAAGTACCTCAATATTAATGATGCTTTAAGCTTAAAATAAAGAAGAAGATAAAACGTCATTCACAATTCTATGAAAGAAATCTGAAGTAGACAAAATAATGACATCTGAGTTTTAGTTCCAAAGAATAGATGAGAAGTTTCAGCTTGATAGAGAGCTCTCATCATTGCCTGAAATGAGAAGGTTTTGAGCTGGAAAGCGACTTTGAGTCTGAGGATATTCTAGTGGTGTTGGCAACATGGTGAAGCAAGCCAGAGGCTTCTTTAGCCGTCAAGGTTGAGGTGCAGGGATGTAGAAAAGATGGCATGGTTTAGGAGAGGCTGAAAGGAAGAACAGAACATACATGCTTGCCTTTCAGACCAGCCTGAAATACAGACTAACTGCAACGCAGCCTGCAGAGACCACTAGCTCATCCTTCTGAAAGAAGTCTATTCTACCTTGTTTTTTGAGAAAAGAGATCGTAATTAGCATTGATTTTGACTTTAAGTTAGAGAAAATGCAACTTTAAGGTGGAAGCATGCAATCTTTTTGGTAGCAGTTGCACCCTTCTCCCCTCCCTTACTTTGGTACTAGGGAGTGACAAGTTTCTGTTTTCCTATCTGTAAACTTAGAGTAACAATCCCTACCTCAAACAGCTGCTTTCGGGTGTTTGTGGGATAGTGAGATGTGAGCCATGCACACATAGTCAAAAGAAGGAGAATTCTGAAGGCTTCTCTACCTACCAAATGTGCTCCATGTGGTACTAGTGGGTAAGAAAGACAGTGGGAAGTTACTAGGAGACAGATTTTGCCCCAGGGTAAAGAAGTCTTCTGGGATACAACATTTTCAGAAGTTCGAAGTGGCCTAGAAAGAGAGCAAGCTAAGGAGCGAGGAGGGTATTCCAGCCAAGTGATGTGACAAAAAAAGAAACCATCGAGCTGTGACACACCTGGTAGATGGTAGCCCCGTCTTCATGGATTTACCTGACCAAGGTTACATGTGGTTATCTGTCACTCCATCTCTTCTATGAAAAAGACCCCAGCATAACTCTAGTGAATGAAAATGTTGCTAAGTAACTATGAGTAATAATGGATTTGGGCCAGCAGGTGGCGTGGTGGTTAGGGAGTTGGACTCCCACATGGTCTACCAAGGTTTGAGTGGTGGGCCTGGTGGCTTGCTTCCTCATTTTCCCTCTTCTCGCTCTCTCTCTCTCTCTCTCTTTCTCTCTCTCTCTCTTTCTCTCTCTCTCTCTGTCTCTCTCTGGTGAGCACATGCTCTATAGCAAATTTAAAAATGATAATAAGGGACCAGCAGAATGCATAATGATGATGTCACTAGAGTCCCACATGGCTGACTACAGTTAGAGTCCTGGACCTAGAAGCTTGAAACTTATTCCAGTGCATGTACATACATGCCCAAAAGCCCTAGAGGAGAATGAGGAGAGGGGATTGCAGCATGACCATCTCCCCTGGGGGGTGATATCTCGCTTTTGGTCTCTCTGTCTCTCTGGCGAGCACACACGCATTACAGCAAAAATCTCTCAAAATAATAAATAAATAAATAAATAAATAAATAAATAAATAAAAACAATAAATAAGATTGCAGTAAGTTATTTTAAATGATAATGGATTTACATTCATTAGCTGTTTCTCCTAGGCTGGATACCTATGTGCTTTATATGTTGTCCCATTTAACTGGCAGCAAGATGCTGTCAGAACAGGGTTATGATTGATTTTAAATAGGGCCAAGGAGGTAAAATACCTGCCCATGACTTTCTGACTGGTAAGTGATGAAGCCAGGAGAAAAGCACATTCGTTTACTACTACACTGATATTTATTGAGGAAGAGAAGGAAGAAGGGAGGAGGGAGGGCAAAATAGGGGGAAGGAGGAAACGTTTACAAATACTAGCTGACCACCTTAAATATTATCAGCCACAAATCATTTGGGACACACACCACAAATGGAAAACACAGTACAGAGAAGTATTTTCACACTCTCACGCTTTTCCACAGAAGTGCCCCATCTGCTCAGACAGTGACCATATGCCTCCAGTGGCCTGGATGTAGCCTGAAGCAATTTTCTTATTTTCTTCCATCACATGGCCATGTTCTTTTAATATAAAACATGCCTCCATATTTGGGGATCAAAATAAATGTACATATGACAGAATGCATGTCATATTTATTCGAGCCTTTATATATCCCTTGGGAATACCACCCCCTCCCCCACAACTTCCCTCCAGTTTTAGAAGCATCACCAGGAAAAAAATATATATATGCTCATTAGTCTAAAGATAGATAAAATGACCAATAAACTAATGGTTTTTAAGTAGTAAAGCCTATAATTCTGTCAACAAATTAGCATTCTAAAGGTTATCAGGGCAGCTACCATTTATACATACAATAATATTTCAATATTATTATGCAATCACCTACTTGGTCTTCATTGACAGAGCACTAAAGAAATCTCCGAGGACTTCTGTTCTGTTCCTGATATTAGTAACTGCTCCAGTGCTGCTAAAACAAACTCCCTTTCGGTGCTGTGCCCAACACTCTCATGAAGGTTATGTTCCTCACTGGAGTCCTTCAGCGCTCATAAACTCCAAGTCATTGTTGCATTGAGAATCAGGACAAATTCTCTGTCCATTGCCCCTGTATCTGCTATCATATTGGCCTTATCCAAACAGCCCCAGCCTTAACAACAGCTGAAATAACAGATGGGCAGGAGAACTTGAGATTTTTTTTGACATCGTTCTTTTGTTTATGAAATCTCCCCCCAACTTTGGAATCTGATAGGAATTCTCTTCATTATCATTTTGTGTTTTTTCCCATGGTACTTTTCTTGTTAAAATTAAAAAAAAAAAATAATGCAGAGTGAGGTGAGAGGAATAGGATCTTCTTTTGAAAATGGTCAAAAAGGAAATAAAAGTAAAATTTTGGTCATGTGGAATTGACATAAACATATATTTACCTTGGAGGATATATTTTCAGTGGCCAGAGTTGTTTGGTGGTTCCCTTATGAGAAAGTCAGGACAGTCACCAAAAGTTCTTGAGGCAAGGAGAGATTTGGTATAGGCAAATTGGAAATCTGACAGAAGCCAGTCCCTGAAATTGCAATTCCAGGACAAGACTCCACTTCGCAAGAGATGAGATTGTTAAGACAGGTGTAAAATTAGAATAAGGAGGGCAGATTATAGAATATTACTCAATAGCATATGATTATAAGCAAGTCTTCTTTTATTAATATATTTTATTTTATTTTAATTTCTTTTATACATTCAATCACTATACATCACTTAGCTTGTAAAGTTTTTTTCCAACACGAATGCATTTCACAACAGTCCAGTTAGGGATATTACACACGTAAGCAAGTCTCTTAACCTCTCTATGCCCCATCATTTGTAAAATCAACATGAAAATATTGATACCCATAAAGGGTTGGTTTTATTTTTAAATGAGAACATGCATGGGAAGTGCTTATCCTGAGCTAAAAATCAATTAATGGGTGCTGCTATTATTGTTATTATTTTAGTTGTAGGGAGGAACAAGTGGTAGGGAGGAGGAGAATCACTTTACATGCAACATAAGGAACGGACGTATTCGTGTGTAACAGGATTTCTGCTTGGATCTTAAAATGAAAGGAAATGATCAGACAATGCCCAGAGCATCTGATATGGAACCTTCCCACCTCTATATTTTGCTTATCCTATTTATTTTTGCTGGATGACTTCTTCCCAAACATCATTATGGGGCACATGCCATCTGTTGCTTTTCCACTAGAGTTATTGTGAAACTTAAATTCAAGATAGAAGATACCCAGTGAAGTTGATGTGTATCATCAATCCATGATGCTAGTTATTATTACTGTACATCTTGATGTGGTCCATCATACTTAGCAGAGTCCCTTAACCACAACAAACAATAAAAAGTATTAAATAACTAAATGTACATTTGATTTTTAAGAGGAGCATGACTACTTAATGCACCCGTAAAATCAATTTTCCATTCTCTCTTTGTGTGCCTCTAGTATTGCATTGGTACAGTTAATGGTTTTCTTTATGTTTTCCAGGGATCTCAATCTTGGCAGTGTGTACCAATACTGGGTCATCACCATTTCAGGAACTGAAGAGAGCGAGCCTTCACCTGCTGCCATATACATCCATGGAAGTGGGTACTGTGGTGATGGCATTATCCAGAAGTAAGTAGGTCTAACAAAAAAAAAAAAAAAAAAAAAAAAGAGGAGATGGGGCTGCTGCTAATTAAACCAAGAGATGGCTAGGATTCTAAATAATAAAGCTTATGAACTACTCTTCAGTGCATGATTTGTGAGTAATCAGAGCTCCCCAACAATCTATCAGTTTGTCTTCAAGAAATTTGCTGGTCTGAGAAGAAAAGCAATGACCTTTTTTTGAACACATATATTTCTGTAGTATATAATAAAACATATGATTTAGTCAGAGTTACTATTATGCACTTACTGCCATTTCGCTCTTGTTCTTAATTGTCTTATGTACTACAAGAATTGTCAGTCTTTTCCATTACAGCTCACACAAGTTGACAGTTCATCTCTGTTAAAACATTCCTACAGGCCTACCCAAGTGGTGTGACAGTTAAAGTAGCTAACGTAGCTGACTGTACAGTTTGATTCCCAGACTAGTAGCCTGAAAAATATTCTGGGCACACATGTGTGCATACCAAAAATCCCAAGAGGAGAGGGAAGAAGGGGTTACAGAGTGGTTATCACTCCTGGGAAGTGCTTTCCCACTTTCTCCCCTCTCTCTGCCTCTCGGTCTTTTTCTAGGAAGCACATATACCCTATAGCAAATTTTAAAAATAAATAAATAAATGTTTACACCCTTTTCTAGTTACTTTTTTTTGGAAAGGTTTTTGCTACACGGTGCATGCGCTTACCAGAAAGACCGAGAGAGACAGACAGACAGAAAGCAAAAAAATCACCCCCCAAGGGGGATGGCCACACCACAATCCCTTCTCCTCCCTTCTCCTCTTGGGATCTTGGGCACGCATGCATATGCGCCCTGCGTGACTTTAAGCCACCAGGTCCAGGACTCAAACCATGGTCGGCTACATGGAAGTCCAGCGACATAGCCGCTATGCTAACTGCTGGTCCCACTTTTTATATTTTTTAATACTTCATATTTATTTGTTATTTCTTTTACACCATGTTATATCAACAATTTATAAAACGAGTCAAAGGCCTATAAAAATAGCAAAGTATTCTCACTGTCATGTTGAAACATAAATAGTAAAACAGTACTCCAGAATGAATATGGGTACACTTAAGCAAATGAAGCAGTAGATTATAGCCAGAAAGGAAAATTACACTGAGAAAATCTAGATACTGTCTAAGCATGAGTCTTCTCAGATTATCAGGCCGTATCATCCTCTTTTCCTCAGCATGAGATGTTATGCAACTGACAAATAGGACTGAGGCTATCAAGACTTTTGCACTGTTAAAACATAATAATAAAGCAAATAATTAATAAATAAAGCCAGTAAATAATCAATGAATAAAGGCATGGAGGTTAAGGCTGTGAATCCCATATGGCAACTGCACAGTTTAGAGTCCTGGACCCAACAACTTGAAAAATACTCTAGGTGCATGTGAATGTATGCCCCAAGTCCCAAGAGGAGAATTGAGAAGGAATTGCAACATGATCTTTTCTTCTGAGAGCTGGTGTCTGTCTCTCTCTCTCTCTTTCTCTCTTTCTCTCTCCAGGAAGCACACATGCCTTGTAGCAAAATCTAAGAAAAAAAAAAGTAAATCACTTACAGTGAAGCTGAGTATGTACTAAGCCTCAAATGAATGATTTTTTTTAAAAAAAAAAAAAGATAAATAAACGTTTGAGTCTTTTTCATCCAGAATAAGCACAAACATGTTTTCTGGCACATAATTGAGAGTTTTGTCGCTAGAGGTGGAGAAGAGATCAAGAATCATTCAAAATTAAGTTCCTTAGTGCTAAAATTATGTTCCTTATTCTAAAGTATTTCTTTGCAAGTCACACTACTGCTAAAAGACTTTTAAAACTATTGACAGATTTAATGATAAACATTATGTGTGGAGATAGCAAAACAAGCTATTGGCAAAATTCCTTCATTAAATGGCACTGTTGGGTGTCACATAATATCTGTGCAATAAGGAATTGCAATTACTATTTCTGTGGGGGGAGGCAGTGTAAAAAGAGAATGTGCTTCACAGTTGGATGAAACCACTGATGTGCAGAACATGAATCAGCTCATAGGTGTAGTACATATATGAAAGAGAAGTGCTTTCATATAGACAACCATTTTTTCTGTTGATCACCAACACTGATCCTAGAGGGAAGAGTGATTTAATTTGTAACTGATGACTCTGTGTTATGTGGTGTAAACTGGAAACCACTGCTTTGAGATGAAGGGGCCAATTAGGAGTACAGCATGGATAATGCATTTATGCAAGTAAAAAAATGTGCACATGAGTTTGCACCTTAACATCAGTTATTGGCCAGTAGTATGCTTTCTGATCATGACTTAGCAATGACAGAAGTAGTGACTGTTGCAATTATGGTCAGATGAGGATCAGCAAGTTATATCTTTTCAACTTGTGCAAAAAGCTGGTTTTGTATACAAGATTTTTCCTCACTCCCACTCCACTGAAGCATGCCAGCTATTAATGGGACGGCATTAATTCAAGTTTTGAAATAAGGAAGAATGTTTTAAAAAACAATGACATCGATAAAACCAGTAATGGTTCTTTACATGATTTTAGGTGGCTTCCTAAAACAGTATATCTCAGGGATATATAGTTCTGTCTTAAATGCCCTGAATGTACAATTAAAGATTTAAATTGTCAAGATTTTAATATTGAGGAGATAATATAAGGATTTTGAAAAGTTAAATAGTGATGCAAATCCTTGCCAAGAATTAAGTTTGTCAAGCATAGAGTATACAGCTCCTCATTTGTCCAAGAATCAAAGTGATGATATGTTGTATTAAATATAACATTTAAGATATACTTAAGGTGTACTTAAGATCCACATCCAAATGCCTTAACAGTGCTGTATAAGGGCAGAGATCCCAATACAAAACTAAACTGGAGAAAGGGAAATAATTTACTGGTCTCTGCTATATTAAGGCATCAACTTAGAGAACCTCTCAATCTAAATAGCTTATGCATATTTCCTAAAGAGAGGGGAAAAAAATATTTGGGGAAAAGGAGAGGTACCATCTTATCTAATAGCATTTTCATGGGATGATCCACATTAACTTTATAACATAAATAATAAATCTATATATGTTTAAAGAAATACAGATAGGTACAGCACTCGCTGAGGCCCCTAATGGATGAAAGCTTAGTCGTAAAGGATCCATAGCAGCAGATTCTCCCAAAGTCATATAACATGTAATGATGAAGGTACTGGATGAATATTTTAATAAGGATAATATGTGTAAGTATTTATTGAGCCTCTACTCTATACAAGGCACTGTGCTACATTATTCTTGCCTTGAGTCCTTCCTAAAACCATTTAAGGTAGGTCCTATCATCGTACTTTGTAGAAAAGACAACTGCACAGAGAAATTAAAGAGAGTTTTCTCACATTTACACACCAAGCAAGGAATTAAAACCAATATGTGAAACTGAAGGTCCAGGTTCCCATCTGGATTTACCATTGCATTTTTGTGTGACCTGACAACATTGCAAAACTAACAAATAAAGGAATAGCTGCATGCTGACTGCCATATTCCAGGCACCTAGACCAGGTTATGAGGCGCTAGGATGATGAAGACTATCATTTTCTTTTGCATCTTACAGACTAGTGGGGGAAGCGACATGGGGAGTGGAGGGGTACTCAAGCAACATGCAAAGGCAGTCAGTTTGACAAGTGCTGTGATAGATGGAACAAGATATCTAGGGGGACACAGAGAAAGATGGCCACCCACTCTAGCCTCAAAGGTTAGAGAACCTCTCAATCTAATGACAGATCTGCCATGCCTAGAAGATAAGACCCTAATGTTTTGCCTCAACCAAAAGAACATGTGCTTTAGATGGTGATGGGAGGTAGACTGGAGTTATTCTCTGCTGCTTAGGGAGCTGACCCAGGTTTAAAAAAACATAGAGGAAGAAGAAGATGGAGGAGAAAGAATAGGAAGAGGAGAAGTTCACCAGCAATTTCCAGCTCAAAAGATCCCTTGGCAGAAATTACTGAGACTGACTGGGAATATGGACTTTTTTGCTCATAAGTCTGTAGACAGGCAGGAACTGGGTGGCTCCATGGAGAGCAATGCAATGCCCTAGCCATCCTAAGGATTGATTGCAAGACACTATCCTGCTACTCTGACACCTCCTAAAAGCAACAAACATTGTCCAGCGTTAATTGCCTGGGTAAAAGGAAAAGTCTAAGGCCTCTTCCATGCTGTGATAAGTATCAGTTCTCCCTGAAGAAGGAGAGACAGCTGCCTCATGCCCTACAGAGACCTCCCAAGGCAAAGTGGACATGAGAACTGTGATTCTCTGAGCATCTACTGTGTTCCATTTACTGAGCCAGTAACTTTAAGATATCTTCCTTTCTTGCACCAAACTCTAAAGAGTATGCCTAATTATCTCCATTTTAACACATGAGAAAATTCAGCCTCAGAATCTACAAGAGCACGTCAACAGATTTTTCTTCAAGGATGTTAATATATTCTACATGGTACAATTCAGTGGCCACTAGCCTCATGTGCCTACTGAGTCCTTAAAATGTGGCTACCATGACTGAGGAATAAAATTTTAATTAGGTTTTTATTTTAATTGATTCATATTTAAATCATCTCAGATGGATGCACCCGTGGAGTATGCAGCAGTAGCCACACAGCTGAAAGCTATATGGAAGATCGGGATTCAGTCCCCGGGTAGACTTGTATATGTCACACATGTGTGTGCTCAGGATCCTGTCTGGCTGGGGAAGGCTGGACGGAGGATCATGGTGTGAGACCCTGTTGAGAGTGCTTATCTTTCTCTGTGTGTGTGTCTTTCTCTCATGCAATAAATAAAGAAATTTTTTTAAAGAATTATTTTATTTTTAATTTTAACTTCATTTATTTCTTTATTTTTTTTATTTGACCAGAGAAGGACAGAGTGAGAGTGAGAGACAGAAAGTGAGAAAGCAAGCCTCCAGGTCCAGGACTCAAACTGCAGTTGGCCATGTGGGAGTCCAGCGCCCTCAACCACCATGCCACCTGCTGGCCCCAAGATAAAATATGTATAATTTACTAAATCATTACAGATAGACTTATCAGATGGAGAGATAAAGTGACTAGCCTAAGATCACACAGCTAGTTTGGAGCATGGGGTTCTAAATCTAAGTTTTCTATTTCTGAAAGAATGGAAATTTTCTGAAAGCAACAGTCTATTCAGTCCCCCCTACCCCTCACACACACATACACCTTTTCCTTGTCTAAGCCCAATTCAGAGAACATTGGTCATTTTCTGCTCATCCCAACCTGTGCAAAATAATCCTTAAATGAGGAAATAATTCCAACATAAACAAGAAAGGCATTTTTATTTCTTAATAGCATAGTCCCTTAGACTTGGAGTTGTTGACATCATGAAATGACACACCCATTGGCAGAGACGAAACTTACCAAAGGAAAGATGACTAAACCTTAGCACATGAACGGGGAACTCTTTACCTTTATGTGTATTTGGGGGAATAGACAGGGTGTCAGGGCAGAATAGTGAAGGAATAGCATTTATATTATACAACTTCTGAAATTGCCTTCAGATTCACCCTTTTAAAATCAGAAACATGATAATGGCAGTGAGGTGTTTCTAGGCACCATAGATCTGCTCATTTGTTTGTGCATTCATCTGTTTCATACCTGCCTCTGACTCATTAATTGACTTGATTTTCCCAAGAATGAGTTCAGAGGGAATTCTACTTTGTCAGCGGAAATGCAAAATAAAGCAAATGTGATAGTATCTTGTAAATCTACACCTTTCATGAATCTCATTCTGAAGATGAAGTAACAGAGACTCAGGTAGAGAAAAGGTCTCAGGGAAGGCTCATGGCCCAGGGAAGGACTTTTTCATGTCCAGCCACAGTTCTGGCATTGATCTAGCCAATTTCTCTTTTATGTTCATTCCTCAGAGGCCAAGGAGAAGAATGTGATGACATGAATAAGATCAATGGCGATGGCTGCTCCCTTTTCTGTCAACAAGAAATTTCCTTCAATTGTATAGGTGAGTCTGTCATGGCACTGGACTTGGCTGGTTGGTAAATCACAATAACGTCAGTTATGTCTGAATGATGAGTCACCCCTTTGTAAATGATGATTCACTCTTTTGTATTGCATGCATTCAGTGAGTGACTCCAATGCACCAGGCACTGTTTGGGGCATGGGAAAATAGAAAAATGAAAAAATAAACAAAATAAAATAAAACAGCAGATATTCC